GCCCGGCTGATTTTTGATTTATTGTAGAGATGAGGTCTCACCAAGTTGCCCAGGCGGGTCTTGAAACCCGCGGGCTCAGGCAATCCAGTCACCTCAGCCTCCCAAGGCGCGGGATTACAGGCTGAGCCACCGAGCCCGGCTTGACTGATGATTTCTAATATCCTTCCTAGCTATTCAGATTCATGTTTTCCAAGAATGTTTAATGACATACACAATGCCTGCAATCCAATGTCAAGTGAAAAACAAAGCAAGACTCAAAATTATAGAAGTTATTATTATTTTTATAATTTAATGAAGATCCACAGTAATTTTTATTTTGAGCTTTATATTTCTATTTCTCCGTATTGTGTAAATTTTCTACAGTGAACCATAATTATTTAAAAATGTATGTTGTTTAAAAATGATTTAAGTAGAAAAGCACAATTGTTTTATGTCCAGCATAAATCAGTCAAATAATTGACTATGTAAATAGCTGTTAATTAATTTATTTAATGTTGAAAGACAAAATATAGCAGGGTGCAGTGGCTCACACCTGTAATCCCAGCACTCTGGGAGGCCGAGCTGGGAGAATTGCTTGAGCCCATGAGTTCGAGACCAGCCTAGGCAACATAGTGAGACCCTGTCTTTAAGAATAAAAAATAAAAAATAAAATTAGCCAGGCATGGGGGCACGTGCTTGTTGTCCCAGCTCTCCAGGAGGATGAGATGGAAAGACTGCCTGAGCCTAGAAGGTTGAGGCTGTGGTACGCCATGATTGTGCCACTGTACTCCAGCATGGACAACAGAGACCCCGACTCAAAAAACAAAAAAGAGGGCAACCCCCTCTGGTTCCCTCCCATTGTGGGAGCTTTTCTGTCTTCTTAATAAATTCTGTTTTCTCACTTAAAAAAAAAAAAAGACAAAAAAAAAGGCAAAATCAATTGTTTCACTTTCCCCCTCCACAATTCTCTCCAGTCACTAGTCTGGGAAGCTCAACTCAGTACTGTTACTATTTTTAGCAATTTTGGATAGCAACTCATATTTCATATAAGAAATTTCAGAAGATTCTATGGATTCCTGTAATTAATTATATATTTTTTGGAATAAAGAAGTAATCAATGGACTTTGGATGAGATGAAATATGGATCAATAATTAACAACAAAAAAGACAAAGATTTAAAGGCAAAGAACCTCCAAAAACTTATTTCCATCACTTTATTCAAAATTGTTTAATTTTTCAACATGTGTGCCATGCACATCAAGAAAAAACACACAAAAGGTGACCCACCAAATGTTAACATCACTTGCCGCTGGGGTATTGGGGATCTGAGAGTTTGTTTTGTTTTTTCTTTTCTGTCTAATTTTTCAAAAATGAATGGCTTTCTCAAACTTTAAAGTCTTAAAAAAAGTTCATCATTGAGCATAATTAGTTTTGGCAATTATGAGGAAAAGAAACAGAAAACTTATGCTGATGATAAAACAAAACTCTAAAGCCATATAATTATAACCACCTGTGGGAGGAGAAAGGGATAAGAAAAAGCAGATGTTAAGCCTGAAAACCTACTTAGCTATGAGCTACAAATTAATTTTTTGTGTAAATGAGAGAATAGGAGAGCCAGTTAGTGAGATCACAGACCTATAAGAAGTTCTGTTAACCAGGAGACATAGCTCTGCATAAAGAAAGGCTGGAATATTCCTTGAAGAGTCCTGCCAGGCCTCACACTAAGCCCCTCATCTCAGACATCCATCATTCATCTGTGTCAGGTTGAGCAGCCCCTCCCACTGTGTACCATGGTGAGGTCTTCATATCGTGGGTCTTGAGGGATGCAGATATCCGTGGGTCAAGGTTTGAAATCAAGAAAAGTAGAAAGGGTTTTGTTTTTCAAGATAACTTTACATGCCCACCTTCTTTCTTCTATTTTTCTCTTTTATATTCTGGGCTGAAAGGCATTTTGATTTTTTTTGAAAAGGCCTGTTTCAGGTTTGACAAAAACAATTGTGACAACTATTATTCATCATTTAACAGTTTTTTCAAAGTGCATTCATGCACATTATTTCACGTAATACTCAAGAAGATCTTGGGAATTCTTATTACGTCCATTCTACAGATAAGCAAACAGAAACTGAGAAGGGGGAAAGGCTTCCTAAGCTATACAACTAGAAGTTGGCAGAATTAAGCTTGAGCCCAGAGCTCTAATTCCCCACACAAGCACAGAAAAATTCAATCCATCACTTTGCTTCAGGCATGTAAAGCACATCCACAGAAGATAGCTTTTTTGATATGAATGTGTACAACTGGACAACAACTACATAATTAAGTAAATAAAACAGGTATATTTATTTCACGGGCATAATCTCTGCTAATCTGAAATTCTAATTTTTGAAAATATATGTGTCACAATCTAAGAATTATAATTGGTGTATCTGTCTAAGTATGATTAAATATGAGAATGTTCCCTACATTCTACGTGCACATTCAACAAATGCCATATGTACCAGAGCAATCTTTTACATTAACTAACTCAATTAGTAACATGGGGGAATATGAACCTGAATATTGAAAAGAAAAAAAAGAACACTGAGTTGAAATGATCAAGAACTGCTACTCAGCAATATTTCAACTTCACAAGATTTTAAAAGGCACACATGATGCTTAGGAATAAAACGATCACTTTTGTGCTTCAGACATAGTTGTCATAGAGAATCATTCCTCAGCTTGGCTGACTTGTGTCTAAGTTTTTACCAATAACATTATATTTCCATGGTGATATTACAAAAATACACTTCACTTGGACAAAGAAAAAGCATAAGAGAAGCCTCCGTTGTATCGCTGAAGCAAAAAATATCCTTGAATAAAAAAAATGAGGGTTTAAAAAACTGGAGACTGTCCAAAAGATTACCTATAGGCTTAAACATGAAAAGGAACTGAGACATTAAAAGAAATCTTAAGAGAAGTCTTCCTAAGGGACTGAGTGACTGATGAGAAAGGATTACCATTGTCCTCGAATAAGCACACTAAGGCGTGGGTGTCAAAGTACAGCTTCCTATTCCCAGAAGAGGTGAAATCTCTTCTTCTGCGCTCTAGTTGGAGGAGCCCAGCAGACAGACTTAGTTCTAGGAAGAAACGGACAATAGGTTCAAAACAGACTTAAAGCTAAATAAAAGCAATTCAGCACCATGAGGAAATTAACATACCTCAAATGCCTATTTGGTATTTTATAACAGCTTCATTGAGATATAATTCACATATTGTACAATTCACCCATTTCAAGTGTACAATCCAACAGTTTTTGGTATCATTACAGAGTTGTGCAACCATCCCACAATTTTAGAACATTTTCATCACTCTCAATACAAACTGTAACCTTTAGTGGTTACCCTCTAATTCCCCCAGATCTTCCCCATTCCCCCCATTCATGACCAAGACAACCACTAATTTATTTTGTCTGTATTGTTTGTCTACTCTGGAGATTTCATATAAATGGAATCCTACAATATATGGTCTTTTCTGACTGGTTTCTTAGCATAATGTTTTCAAGGGTCATGTGTCACTACTTCATTTCTTTGTATTGCTGAATAATAGCTCTACAAAATTTTGTTTATCCATTTATCAGCTAAAGGACACTTGCACTGTTTCTTCATCTTAGCTGTGTGGATGTTATGCTTTCAGATCTCTTGAGTATATGCCTAGTTGTGGAATTGCTGGATCACATGGTAGCTCTATGTTTAATCGTTTCAGCAACTACCAGACTGTTCTCCAAAGCAGCTAATCCATTTTATATTCCCACACAGCAATATATAAGGATTCCAATTTCTCTGCATCTTCACCAACACTTGCAATTATCAGTGTTTTCAAAACATTATAACCATCCTAGTAAGTGTGAAGCGGTATATCATTGTGGTTTTGATTAGCATTTCCCTGATGACTAGCTGATGTTGAGCATTTATTCATGGGCTTATTGGACATTTGTATATTTTCTTTGGAGAAACATCTATTCAAGTCTGCTATAGTTTGAAGGTGTCCCTCAAAGTTCATGTGTTGGAATCTTAATCCCCAATGTAACAATGTTAAGAGTGAGACCTTTAAGAGGTGATTAGGTCATGAGGGCTTCCCACTTATGAATGGATTAATACTGCTATCTTGGGAGTGAGTTTCTGATAAAAGAATGAGTCCCTCCCCATCCTACCTTGTGCATGCCCGTTTGCCTTCTACCATTGAAGAACACAGCAAGAAGGTCCTTGCCAGATGCAGGTCCCTTGACCTTGGACGTCCTAGTCTTCTGAACTAAGACATAAAGTTCTTTTCTTCATAATTACCAGTGTGTAATATTCTGTTATAGCAGCACAAAACAGCACAAATCTGGCCATTTTTAATTGGGTTATATTTTTATTACCAAGCCGTAAGAATTCCTTATGTATTTCAGATACAAGTTCTTTATTAGATTATGACTTGAAAATGTTTTCTCTCATTCTGCATACTGTCTTTTCACTTTTTGACAGTGTCTGATAGTGTCCTTTGAAGCCTAAAAGTTAAATTTTGATGAAGTTCAATTGATCTGTTTTTTTTCTTTTGTTGCTTGTGCTTTTGATAATAAACCACGGGCTAAACCAAGTACACAAAGGTTTATATCCATGTTTTCTTCTAAGAGTTTTATAGTTTCAGCTCTTACATTTAGATCTTTGATCCAATTTGAGTCAAATTTTATTACAGCTTCATTCTTCTACATGTGGATGTCCAATTGTCCCAGCACCATTTCCTCCATCGAGCTGTTTTGTCATCCTCAGTGAAAATCAATAAACTGTAAGCATGAGGGTTTATCTCTGGACTCTCCATTCTCTTCTATTAATCTATATGTCTGTCCTTATGCTAGTACCACACTTTCTTGATTACTTGTAGCTTTTGACATCAGGAAGTAGGTTTCAAACTTTGTTGTTTTTCAAGGTTGTTTGGTTATCCCGGGTTCCTTGGTATTTCCACATGAATTTTAGGGTCTGCCAATTCTACCAAAAAAAAAAAAAATCCCCCTCTGGGATTTGTATACAGACTGTGTTAAATGTACAGATCAACTTGAGAAGTACTGCCACCTTAATACTAAGTATTCAGATCCATGAACATGATTGTCTTCCCATTTATTTAGGTCTTTAATTTCTTCAACAATATTTTGTAGTTTTTAGGGTATAAGTTTTGTGCTCTTTTGTTAGATTACTCCTAAGTATTTTATTCTTTTTGATGTTATTGGAAATGACATTGCTTTCTTAATTTCATTTTCAGGCTGTTTAGTAATAATGTATAAATATACAAACTGATTTTTATACACTGATATTGTATCCTGCAATCCTGTTAAACTTATTCATTAGTAGTAATAGTTTTTTGTGGATTCCTTAGGATTTTCTGCATACAAGTCATGTTATCTGAGAATGACTTTATCTTCTTCCTTTCTACTCTGCATGTCTTTTATTTCATTTTTTTGTATCTAACTGCCCAGGCTTGAATTTCCAGCACAATGTTGGACAGAATAGTGAGAGAAGGCATCCTTTTCCTGTTCCTGATCTTAGGGGGAAAGGATCCAGTCTTTTTCCATTAAATATGATGTTAGATGCGGGTTTTTCACAGATGCTCTTTATCAGGTTAAATTCTATTACTAGTTTATTGAGGATTTTTCTTTTAATCATAAAGGGGTGTTAAATTTTGACAGATACTCTTTCTGTTGAGATGATCATTCATATGGGTTTTGTCCTTTATTCTGTTACTATGGTGTAATACATTACATGAATTGATTTTCATGTTAAATGAACTTGTCATTCCTGGATTAATTCCACTTGGTCATGGTACATAATCCTTTTTATATGTTGCTAGATTTGGTTTGATAGTATTTTGTTGAGGATATTCCCTTTAATCATGAGATACTGGCGTATAATATTCTTTTCTTGTGATGTCTTTGTAAAAGCCTATCTTTAGAGAGATGTGTTCTAATAAACTTTACATTACCTTTTCTATGAAATTTCATGCATTTAACACCAGATTCAACCCATTTTACAAACTCCTTGCTTCAAGGCATTTGAGGGTGATAGTATAGTATACAGCAGGGGTCCCTGACCCCCGGGCCATGGAATAGGAACTGGGTTGCACAGCAGGAGGTGAGTGGCCAGAGAGTGAGTGAAACTTCATCTGTATTTACAGGCACTCCCCATTACTTGCATTACTGCCTGATCCGCCTCCTCTTAGATCAGTGGCAGCATTAGATTCTCTTAGGAACGTAAAACCTACTGTGAACCGCCCATGTGAGGGATCTAGGTTGTGTGCTCCTTAAGAGAATCTAATGCCTGATAATCCAAAGTGGAGCTCAGGCGGTGATGCTAACGCTGTCTTCTATCACCCCCAGATGGGACTGTCTAGTTGCAGGAAAACAAGATCAGGGCTCCCACTGATTCTGCATTATGGTGAGTTGTACAATTATTTCATCATATATTACAATGTAATAACAATAGAAATAAAGTACACAATAAATGTAATGTGCTTGAATCATCCCAAAACCATTCCCCACCCCAGTCTGTGGAAAAACTGTCTTCCATGAAACTGGTCCCTGATGCCAAAAAGGTTAGAGACTGCTAGTACATGGTATAGGTTCCAGATTTTTGAATTCCACAGAGCTACTACAATAGTTTTTTTAAAAAATTGGAACAGCATTCGGGTTGCCAATTCTTAATTTTTACAAGAAAGGAATTTAGACACAGTTGCTTACTATTACTAAAAAAGACATTTTGATACTAAGAAGGAAAAAAAGATGGAAAATCTAAAGGGTAGTTGTGGTCAATAGTAAGCATCAAGATAAGTGCAAGAGACACAATAATACATATTTGTATCTAGCACTATTTGCAGACTGTCAAAATGTAAAATACCATGACTCACCTGTGTTTGATAGGAAAAAATGAGCCCTTGGGTTCAAAGAACCATTGGCCTACAACACAAGGTCCCTGACCAGGCATACAAAGCCCTTGCTATTTTGGACCACACTTATCCTTTCAGCTTTCTTTCCAGCCACCTAAGCTATTCTATTTCCTGCACCTACATGCCTTAAGCCTAGCTTGCTCCCCTTTCCCATTTATTAAATTTTAAGTATCCCTTCCTTACCCTTCTTTATTAAGTCTGACCATTTACTAAGTATACATAATGTTCCAGGCATGACATTCTGCTACATTTTATGGTTCTCTCTGCTCCCTCCACCCAGTTAAAAGAGCAGACTTGATTGCTCCCTGTGTTCTCAGCTCAATATAGACAGCTCTATAGCAGCATTTACCACATTATCTGTGTATCTGTATCATCTACTAGTCTAAGCTGCCCAAGACCAGTCAGTCTTCCTCATTTTTTATCTTTAGTATTTAGCAGAGGGCCTGACATTCAGCAGGCTAGACATAATTTTTTTTTTGTAATTGAATTGTAATGACTTTTAAGCTCTGGATGATGAGGCTGTCTAGAAGAAAAAGTTGAGACCAATTCCTTTTGCCTCTTCACCTCATTCCTCTCTTTTTTCACATAAATGAGCTCACTTAAATCTGGTATCTCTTTTTTCACTGTTTATTTCCAGTCCTGGGACTAAGACTGCCTCCATGAGAAGGTACCCAGAATGTCTGCCCAACACTGAACAGACCTACTTTGAGAAACAGTGGTGTGAATAAATGAATGAATGAGAGAACTTCTCAAAGGGTCCTCTAAGGCCACCTCTCCAACCTTAGAACATTGTTTTACTGTCCTACGGGTCAGGGAGCTTGGAAATATCTTCGTGTGGAATAGCTTGTGAAGACTGACAGGATTATTCTAGTCCCGATTTCCTTGTTTCTAGTACTAAATTATTCATGAATTTAAAACACAATCTCCTAACCCCACCCCACCCACACATATCAAAACAATCACACCACTACTTTTCCAGCAGAAGCTAAAGCCAATTTGGACAGTACGGATTTTTTTCTTCTCTGAAACAAATGGAACTAGAAATAGCAAGCTTATGTCCAAGAAATACTGCCTTCTGAAAAGTAGAGACAAGGGCTGGCTATTTCCCACTTGGCACTCTAGCCCTGCTGAGGGAAAGAAATGTTATCTTGCTTCCATCTAGGGTAACTCCAGAGCAAATTCCCTGAATTTCCACTAA